GTTCTTTTCATCCGTACATTCTTACCATTTGTGTATTAAACACTTGATTATTTTCTTCCTAATACTTTTGTCAATTAAAGTATTTTAGCTTAGTGAAAGTATGCTGGTGGATCTTGGATTTATTAACTAGTTAAATCATTTCCAACTATCAAACAAATGTGCTGTTAAAACAGCTCGTATATCTGAATCCAGGTGCAAAGGATAAATGGTTTTCAACAAAAATAGGAGTCTAGTTTCGTGCTGCTGCTTATCACTTGATTGGATAGCTATAAACTACGAAGTCATGCCAATTTGCATTCTGATCTCTAACATGATCAAAACGATGCTCCAGTTATGTTGATTATGGAAAAGATGGCAAGATTTAACGCCATTTACAGTTTAGAAACTACAGATATAACTCTGAAATCAACACAAGGTTTGTTCATAAAGCTGAAGGGATCTTGAATTGCAGCTGAGGCACCTCTAAAACCAATAATTCCAAAGTACTCTAATACCTGAACAGAGAGAAATGCATACAACATATTTATGTCGTCAACCCCAACTAATTCTAAATTGATGCATAGTAGCTTGATTGATACACGCATGCTCACACCATTAGTTTTGACCTGTAACTAAATGAATCATCCTTTATTTTTCTTTTTCTTTGTTCCTAGACATATCCTTGAAAGGGCCATTACACCTGGTATAACAACTGCACCATACTGCAGTAAGTAGGTTCTCTTCTATTGGTGAATACTTACATAAGAAAGCAGACAACTCGACCTTCAAACTTCGAACAAGTCAAGGCCAGCTGGTAAATTCGAATACTTTGAACACAATGTCAATTCCAGTAGGGATTTGCCAAATGAAGAGGATAACGTTTAATGCGTTCAAAGCTATGTGCAGATTTCTAGCGGTTTCATTCCCCCTTTGCATTGCTGGTACAAGGGCTGCCGCTGCTGCCCACAGAATTGTAATCCCTGTTCCATCATAGTTAAAACAAATCAAGTCACTTACGCAGACCAGTTAATGAACTTAAGATTAACTATCTAGACAATGTTGCACAACACCAAACCTACCAATCATCATGAAACAAAAAGACTAACAGAGGTTGAACACAAACATTACTGGTATTTTGGTTTGTATGCATTGGCAGCAAGTTCTCACCAGTTGCAATTTGAGTACTAAAAACGTATACATGCTTGTGAGCTTAAGACATGGTTATTCTGGTATTACAACCGCGAACCAGTTCAGCAATGCAGGACCATATCATCACCAAATAACCATGTGCTGCTTGATTAACGTCACTGATAACAGATGGTATACGCCATATTTAAGAAGTTATCTCTAAATTCAAAGAACTCTGCAAATATCTATAGAAGATTTAATTCTTCCTATAATATTTAGGCAGGAGTCATAACTCACAAGTCCCACGGATTATAGGTCTATTGATCCCACTTTAATTAAAAAGCGCATTTAAGCAGCAACTACGACGTAGACAAGCTCAATCTTCCTTCTTTCAAGCTCCATCAAATTTGAACTGGTGTAAGGAACTAGTGAGCCTCATATTGTGAATATCACGTTATATATAGTAGGACTAGTCAAGTTATATAACCATTAACCTCTATTAAGAATTTGAGATACTAACATAAAATAGAAGAACTACAAGTTTTCACTCTCTAACAATTTAAACTTTTAGATGATGCAGTTCATACTTTTGTCTGAGTGCATAGTGAACTGGCTTTCGGATTTAAGTCTCTTTGCTAACCATCAACAGAAATATTTCCCCCGTATTTGACTCAAGAAATAAAATGAATAAGCAAAAGTGTTCACTCTCTAACATACAAATGAGGCGGTTCACGTATTTCTTTCTATTTTTGGATAGGTAATGAGGCGGTTTACATAATTCAACTAGATGGATCAATAGTTTAATATGAAAAAAGTTGTCCAGAAATCTTAATGAATGAGGTTGAACTATAGTTGCCTTAAAATATAGAATATGCTATGAATAGAGGTAATTTATCAAATGTTTGGAGGAAAATGAATGCAAAATGCACGAAACTAGTAATGCGGCTATGGATAGTTCTCAAAGCCATAAGTAAGCTTTTAGCCTACTTCTACACCACAAATAGCATTTAACTCGAAAATCATAGGGGTAAAGATACATAATAATACTATACTATAGTTGAATATAAGTATAGGATTCCACATGTATGTAGGAATATTTAAGACATTTTTTCTTCTTTTTTTCATAGAACTATTGCCCCTAATTATTACTACTAGTTTGTAATTGTGGCGTAATTGTTTGTTGTATCTTAAGATTCCAAGTTAAGAGAAAGCTACAAACATCCTTCTTAAATACGAGAAAGATATTTATAGTATTTTTTTTTTCCTATTCTGAATATTGTATACTACCTATTTTATGGGATTACACTGGGTCTTCTGTTGTTGTTGTTGTTGTTGTATACTACCTATTTTGTCAAACAAATTAAGAATGATCCAATCTTCTAGTACTCACAAAAAGCGGAAAAAGCAAGATAGGATGAAACATATGACACTTTTAAGTAAATATAAGTATAGACTAGGGACTTGAGAATATTGCGCAACTTTTTCTCTTTTTTCTTGTTTTCTTTAATGGAAGGACACAGAATGCAACAGCTCAGAAATCATAAACTTGACCATTGATGATGCAAAACAGAATCAATCTACTTTGATATAGTTGTTCTTTTTCCCTTTGGTCAACAATTTGCTCAGATTGACAGGAGATGCGAACATTACCTGCCCCTGCAAATAAATGAGGCCCTGGAAATAACTTCCCAGTCCTCAACCAGGTATTCACACCTCCAGCAATTGACTCAAACACCCCCCATGCAAGCAATATGGAACCTGCATTGAAGTGTTTATCCTTGTATGAACCTTTAATCAGCTCCTTCCGTTCCTGAAGTTCAAAAACAGCAAAAGAATAGATTCAGATATTCCGAAAGTGGACAATATATGAACACCAGTGTTAGAAGTACATCTGCAAGTATCACATTGGGAGCTCAACTAAAAGGGAATACAACATTATAGCCATTCCCATCACATGCTGTAGAATAACTGCGATGGGAAGTTTATTCAAACTAGGGCACTAAGATAGCAAAAAGCCATAAAAGGGCAGCCTAGTGCACAAAGTATCCCCGATTCACGAAGGGTCCGGGGAAGGACCGCAACCCCAAGGGGTAATGATGTAGACAACATTTCTAAATGCAAGCATTAGTAGGTGCTTCCAAGGCTCGAACCCTAATAACGAAAAGCCAGAACAACCAAAAACAATTCTACTAGTACAGTAGGAACCTATAGCAGTTAGTTATATTAGATTATATCTCTGAAAGATTGCCAATTGTGCAGAATGCAATATTATGTACTCTACCATAAATTCCTACATGTGACATTGCAATTCCTAGTGTCACGAAAGAAGAAAAGGAACAATTTTAAGCTGAGATTTCATAGCGAGAAGGTACCACCAATCATGCTTGCTTACTCCAAAATACCCATAGCGCCCCACACCCTCTAAATCGAAAGTGAAGGCTAAAAAGGGGTGCAAAGAACAAAAGTATATAAAATGCAGAAAATAAATTAAAAAATTTGCACCCCAGTGAGTTGCTGAATTCTGGCTTCAACAGGGGATGGCTTAGGGGGTTGAACAGGGGTGCCTTCAGGGGTCACAGGGACAGGTTTAACTTGCTTCTTCAGCTCATTAATCTCATTTTGAATAGTCCTAACTCTCCGCCATTGCCATCCAAGATAACCCGCATATAAAGTGTATACAAACAAACCAGCCATCACAGTGGGATGAATCAGAGCAATAGTTCTTCCCTCAAATATCCCAAACTCTCCACCCACTGCAAATGCATCCTGTTCACAAAACCCAAGATTCAAATTATTCACATATATGCTCAGCAATAATAAAGAAAAAAGTAACAAATTTTTCACAATATTAAAGAGAAAACATGCCTTGGCATCGAGAAAGAAAGGTAATGTGAGTGCTGTGAGAGGAAGAGAAGCTGATCTGAGTTGGTCAATGGTCTCATGGAGGAGGAGCTTTTGTGGCAGAAGAGTAACTGAATGCTTGCTCGGAATTGAGAGTTTGGGTTTGGTTTGGTGCTGTTTTGAGGGCAAGATTGGAAGTTTGAGGAGGCTGAGTGTGGCAGCCATGGTTTTTGCTTAGATTTTCTGACACGTTTGATGTTTGATGGAATGGAAGGAGAAACTTCAGGAACACAAAAAGGCAAGATAAATAGATTGACGGGAGGAGAATAAGATAAGAAAAATCTGTCCGCAGCTTTAGCTTTGCTTTCGACCATCTTTTTATTTTTATTTTATTTATTATTATTATTGTATTTATTTATTTATTTTGAGCTATCAAGTTTCAACCATGTATTTACCCTTTTCTGAAAAAAGTATTTTAGGTAGAAAAATATTTCACGAAAAAAAACATTTGGTAGAATACCTAAGTAACTCCTGATTGACTATTTGATAGTCTTTAACCCATTTGAAATGAAACAAAGGGCTAACGAACGTGAATAGATGGCAATTAGCAGCTTTTAGAGCTCCCATTTTGCTTAGTTATTTTTCGTAAAAGTGGGCAAATATCATAAGTCCAAAATAGTTTGAGTTTGGTCGATGCCAAGGTGTGACACCAACTCATACCACTTCATCAATCTTATGAATGTTATTATGCAATTGTCACTATTTCAGTAATTTTTTATTTTGTGTAATTTGGTTGTATAATATTAGCCAAAGATAAATTTCACATGGAACATATGACCAGTGAGGATTTAATAATTCATACGATGGATACCAACTTGTTTGGAAATTTAAGCATTATTACTACTATTATTATTGTTATTATTTCACCTTGCTATTTTTTTTTTTTTTTGGTAACTAACAATTTTATAATTGCGTAAATCTTTACAAATCCATAGCCCGCTTATAACTCAGCAGCTATAATCTTACAAAATCCAAAACCTACATAACTAGTTCTATGAAAAAATGAAATGTTGCACCAAACTACTATTCCCAGTGGTGGCTCTCACATTACAAATGTAGGCTACTTCTCGCGCAATACTATCAACTCTTCTGCTTCTCTTTTTAAACAATCTCAGGTTCCTTTCGATCCAAGTGACATGACTTATCTCAGCATAAACCATCCTGTAGAGTTGAACTCTATGAGTCATGCCTTTAGCCCATTGTATCACCCACTGCACATGTTGATCCCAGTTGTCTCTTACCACATCTTGTCTCTGCATCCAATGAAGGATTTTCTGCCATACTTCTTTTGTAAAGCAACAGTTCACAAACAAATGTTCCCTGGTCTCATCATGGTTTTGACATAAAGGGCACTTTGAATCCACAATTACACCCCATTATACCAGCCTATCTGCTGTGAGTAATTTCTCATGCAAATGCAGCCACATGGTAAATATAGCATTTGGTCTAGCCTTGTTTTGGAACATCAAACACTTCCAAGAAACTCTTGGTCTATCTCTTAGTAACTGGAGGTAAAATTGGCTGATCATACTCTTTTTAAGATATTGCTTATGCTGCACTTGCTGAAGAGTTGTTCTAGCACTTAGAATCTGTCTAACCATCCAGCTTGCTTGTTGAGGGATTGCCATCTCTTCAAGTTGTTTGTCCTTGATATAGAAAGCATGAATCCATTTGATCCATAGTCGATCCTGTTTATGTGCTACATCCCAGCAAAATTTTGCTAGTGCTGCCTTGTTCCACAGCTGTAAATTAATCAAGCTTAGGCCCCGTTGATTTAGGCGTACACATTCTGTCCATGCTACCAAAGCTTTTTTTGTGATTACATTTACCCCAGACCAAATGTAGCTCCTGCAGTAAGACTCAATCATTTTCAATACTTTTGTAGGAAAATTGAGCAGTTGTGACCAGTAAGATTGAATGCCAAACAAAACAGTATGAACAAGTTGTACTCGACCAACATATGATAGTTTCTTTGCTGTCCATAAAGAGATCTTTGCAACTATCTTCTTTACCAAAGGATACCATTGCATCAGTGAAAGCTTCTTGGTAGCAAGAGGGATACCAAGATATTTGAAAGGCAGTTCTCCAATTGTGAAGCCCAACTTCTGTATAATCTCCATTCTTACATTCTGAGGAACCCCCCCCCCCCCCAAATACACTGAGCTTTTCCTCAGATTGGCTTGCAATCCAGAAACTTGGGAGAAGTGACTAAAACATCCATGAATATGAGAGATAGAAGAAAGGTCACCTCTGGCAAACAATAAAAGATCATCTGCATAGCTGAGGTGTGTAATTCCTAGCTTTGCACATCTTGGATGGAATCTGAAACATTTTACCTCTTTTAGGTTATTAAGGCTTCTACTGAGATATTCCATTACTATTGCAAACAAGAAAGGGAAGATAGGGTCTCCTTGTCTCAGACCTTTAGCAACATCAAAAGGTGGGGTAGATTCCCCATTGAGCATGATAGTATAGTTAACTGTAGGAACACATTCCATTATCCATACCACAAACCTCATAGGAAATCCCAGCTCAATCAGGACTTGTTCCAGAAAACTCCACTCAACTGAGTCATAGGCTTTTTGAAGATCAATCTTAATCATGCATCTGTCAGAAATGTTCTTCCTAGTATAAGCTTTCACTAACTCATGTGCTAATATGATGTTATCAGCAATTCTCCTACCAGGAATGAAGCCAGCTTGTGCCTCACAGATGACAGAGGCAATAACTTGCTATATTCTGGCTGTTAGCACTTTAGATATCAGTTTATATAGCATGGTGCAGCAGGCAATTGGCCTGTAATCTTTTATTGTGCTAGGACTGGGTATTTTAGATACTAGTGTGAGAGTAGTACAGTTTACAGCTTTATATAGTTTCCCAGTATTAAATAACTCTTTGATAGCTTGAATAACTTCATCCTCAATGATCACCCATGCCTTTTTAAAGAAATAGGCATTGTATCCATCTATTACAGGTGCTTTATCACTATCAATAGCACAAGCCAGCATAGACCTCAGCACAAAGAGCAATTTTTTGTTGTTGTGCTAAGACTGGTCCATTTTCATAATCAGTCTATTAATGGCAGGGAGATAATGAGTTGTTGATCCCATTAATAACTTGTAGAATTCAATAACTTCTTGCTTTATGCTGTCAGGATGGGTAAGCTTAGCTCCTGTGAGTGACATAATCTCATTTAACTATTTTTGGTGACTTCTTTCCTTCATGATTGCTGCAAAATACTTGGTGTTTAAATCACCCAGTCTGATTCACTTCTCTAAACTCTGCAGTATACTCTTTTCTTCTTCAAGCAGTGAATCATTACATGCTGCAGTGATCTTTCCTTGTACATTTTCTAAGTTCACTCTAGCATGTTCAATCTTCAAGCAAATAGTTCAAAATTGTTCATTATTTAGTGTTCTGAACAGTGGCCTTAGAGCCTTCAACTTCAACCAGATGTTCTTCATCTTGCAAGTAGCATATGACTGTCCGCAAATTCTTTCCACAATATCAGCAAAACTATCATGCTCAGCCCATATGTTGAAGAATCTAAATAGTAGTTTGCCAGGTTTTGAGACTAAATGAAGGGTGAGTATCATGGGGTTATGATCAGAAATAAATGGCAGGCCATACTCAGTAGTCACATGACCCCACTGTATCATCCACTCAAAGTTACCAAGTGCTCTATCAATCCTACTGCATACTCTTCTGCACCATATTGTTTGTTTGACCATGTGTAGTACTCCCCTGTCCATGACAGCTCATTTAGAGATAAAGAAGTCACACACTCAGCAAAATCTTGGACTTCTGTATAAGTGATAGGGTTACCCATAAATCTTTCACTTGAATACAGCACATCATTGAAATCCCCACAGTAGCCAAAGTTTGGTAATTTTTACTGCTAGATCCTTTAGGCCTCCCCACAATTTTTTCCTTTGCTCTAGAGTGTTATATCCATATATAGCTGTAACTTCACAATCTACCACCCCCATCCTATCTTGCACCAGACAATGAATAAATTGAGCTTCAGAACTTAGCAAAGTAATAGTGTACCATTGGGAATCCCATGTAAACCAAACTCTCCCATTTGGAGCATATTGATAATTTGTAACATAGTGCCACCCTGGGATTACTCTAAGCATGATCCTGCTAGCATTATATTCTTTGACTCTTGTTTCAATTATAACTGCTAGCTTTATTTTCTGGCTACTAATATACTTTTTTAACTCTTTTTGTTTATATCTCTTATTTACACCTCTAATGTTCCAGAAAAGCCACTTCATTAGCAAGTCATTCGACCCCTACCTTTATCAGGTGGTAAGGTGCTAGTACTTTAGTTTCCCCTTTCTAGTGGCTCAAAGGCATTTTTCATTGTTATAGCAGATAGTGCTGGGAAGTTTATCAGGTCCAGTTCAATCCTATTTTCTGCAGCTTTGCCTTTATCAATTGTTGACTCCACAATATGTCTATGATGTTGTAGAGGTGTTTGACCATTACCCTTCTGTACACATTCATGAGCATCCCTTGGTTGCACTTTTTCTTTGTCCCGTGATCCTTTTTGGCCTTGTTGCTGAGGAGTATCTTGTATCTGCTGTTGAATTTTATCATCAGGTTGATTATCCTGATTATCTCCTCTATTCAATGGACCTTTGCATCTCCACTCCATAGTGACTTTCTTAGGCTCTCTTCTCCTGCCATGTTGCTTCTCCTGCTGCTTATGTTGATGTTGTTCTATACCACATTTGTGCCCTACCACTAGACATTTCTGACAATACTCAGGTTTCCAGTCATACCTGACTGGTTGTGTGAAAGTTCTACCATTAGGGTCCATAACTGTTAACTCTACAGGCAAATCTTTAGTGATATTCACTTGTATCAACATCCTTGCAAAGGATACTCTAGTTTTCTTTGCATTACACTCATCTGCATAGATAGGAGTACCTATTGCACTAGCCACTCGACTTAAAGAGTCATGACCCCAACAATTCATAGGCAGCTTAGGAAATTGAACCCATAGAGGAATTTCAATGGGAAACTCCTCATTAAAATCAAAATCTGGTGTCCAAGGCTTTAGAATGATAGGGTTGTTGTTAAACGTGTATGGCCTGGAGTAATAGACTTCCTTCATATCATCTTCATTTTTGAATTTGATGATGTAGTAGCCCTCCTCATGCAAGTACAATTCAGGATCAGCAACATTTGCCCAATTTACCCCAATAAATCGCATCATAGCATTGAACCTGGTGTTTCCCCAATTATATAAGCTATCACAACACTCCTACACTTCTCTGTTTCTAGATCTACTTCAGCTTTGTCTAATTGGACTACAATTTGGCCATCAATGAGTTGTGGAGGTATGTAGGCTAACGACATACCAATTTCAACTGCTCGATTCCTCTGAAATAGATTTGTCCATGGCTTAGTCTTCATAGCAGCTGCCTCATCAGGTTGTTCATTCTTCACAATCACAGTACTATTAGCATCATGCACCAGATTCACTGTTCCATTGGCTGGGACTATTTGCTCCTTACTTGCTTGTTGAATCTGCGGCTCCTCGATGTTGTTAACTTCAGTCGTTGTTGGAGGAGTGCTCAGATCTAGCTTCTTCTTAACTCTTGCACTCGTCGATGATGGTCCTGCTTCACAGTTCGTTTTCCCCATTTCCTGCACTACCACTGGTGTATCTAATTGCTCCTTCTCTTTGTCAACAGCTTAAATTCGTGCTCCTACAGAGCTACCGTAGATAGCCATGGGGTTCATTGTCACAGTCCAAAATCCACTAAGGGTCGTGATGGCACCGGACACTGCTGTCAGGCAAGCTAACCATAAATACTTAATTAAATTCTCGTTTAACTAATTGTGAAAACTATGATTTTCCTTCAATTTGGCTAGTAAAAGATAATCTTTAAAAAATAAATAAAAGAATGATTAGAAGTTAATACAGAATACCCCATAATTATCCCAGAACCCGGTGTCACAAGTGCATGAGCAGTTTCAAGGAAATAATGTAATACAACAACTGTCCGGAATACAAATTGGACAGAAAAGAAAATACAATACAATACTCTGAAGGAGACTCTGCTGGTTGCGGGTCATCTCGAGAGGTGCAGCTCACCTAAGTCTCCGTATCAACCATCCCGCTGCGCCCAACTAGGCCACTAGATATACATGTGCCTGTGCAATAAAAATGCACAGCAAGTGTAGTATGAGTACAAAAATAACGTGTACCTAGTAAGTATCCCGTCTAACCTCGAAGAAGTAGAGACGAGAGGTCGACTTCGACACTTACTAGTGGTCCAATAATAATATATTAATAATGCGAATAATCATGGATTTATTAAAAACGGCAGTAAACTTAAGTAAGTCAAGAAACAAGTACACATTCCTTTTTATATTTAGAAGTCTCCAAATTCATAATCTGTTATTTATCAATTTATCTCAGACCAGGGAGGCAATATCAATTTGTAAATCTCAAGCAAGCATTACAAGCATGCGCAAATCATGCCGAGGTCGGACTGCCCGATCCAATAAAAATTTAAAATGTGCACTGCCAGAGGGTCGAATGACGCGAACCATAGATGCATATATTATCCCGCTCGCGAATCAGACGTGCGACGCGGTCAAATATAAATAATAGAGTTACCCCGCTCGCGAATCATACGTACGACGCAGGTACTCATAGATACACACATTCAAATAGTCAATTAACAATTCATCAAGAAATAGTTATCCAAGAAAAAGTCAATTCTCTTTTAACGATTTAAGAAAATGAGGTTTAACCCTTTTTAGAAATTCTTTTACTAATTCGATATGATTTAGGAAATTTCAGTTGTCTATAAGATTACAAATGTCTATCGGAAACAGCCTCTCTGCCCTATCGGGGTAGGGGTAAGGTCTGCGTACACAGTACCCTCCACAGACTCCACTTTGTGGGATTTTACTGGGTAGTTGTTTTTGTTGTTGTTGTAAGATTATAAATATTTCAGGTATAGCATGCTTTTGGGTCCTAGACTACCCGGACTTAAACATAATAGTAGCTACGCACGGACTCTCGTCACCTCGTGCGTACATAGCCCCCACAAATAGGAGCACATAACCAATTATTTCACCTATGGGGACAATTCCCTCTTACAAGGTTAGAAAGGAGACTTACCTTGCTCCGAAGTCCAATAACCGGCTTCCAAGCCCCTTCCGACGACTCAAACCGATGCCCCAATGCTCCAAAACTAGCCAAATAACGGGCAAACCAATGAAAATACACCCTAATACTCATAACAATTCAATTTATATAAAATCCCAACTCCGCTCGAAAAGTTGACAAAATTGCCCTCGAGCCCACGTGCCCGGATTCCGAAAGTTTTCGAAGATAAAGTTTACCCCCAACCTCACGAACTCAAATATATAATTGGCTCTCAATTTCATGTCCAAAATCGTGGTCAAAATCCAAGAATACAAATTTCCAAGGTTTTCTTCAAAATCCCAAAATTTCTACTAATTTACATGATTTTCCATGTTAAAATCTAGATATAATCCAAGTAATTAACTTGCAATAGGTAGGAATCACTTACCTTGACATGGATGATGAAAATGGAGCTCCAAAATCGCTCCTAGGTCGTCTCCCATGGAGGAAATGAGATGAAATGAGCCAAACCCATTTCTTTACACTTATACACTGCTCAGACGACTCTACTTCGCGTTCGCGAGAACCCCATCGCGTTCTCGAAGAAGAAAATTCCCAAAAACCATTTTCCAAACTCTTCTCAAACAGCCTCTAGTGTAATGGCCATATCTTTTTGTACAAAACTCCAAGTGACAAATGGTTTAATGTTTTGAAAACTAGACACCAGGATCTACAACTTTCATGTTTTGGTTATCTCCCAATTCCTCATAGATTTTGAGATATAAGCTGCCATAGTCAGCCCTGTGCAACACAAATTTCTTCTTCATCTTCCCACACTGCCTGTAGTATACCAGCCATAACTTTCTGTACACTAATCCAAATGCTAAATGGTTTAATTTTCTGAAAACCAGACACAAAGGGCTACAAATTTTGTTTTTGGATTATCTCCAAATTCCTTACAGATTGCGAGATATGAGCCTCCAAAGTCAGACCTGTGCAACTGGGATTTCCTTCTTTGACAACGCGAGGATCCACTCGCGAACGCGAAGAACAGAGTCCCTGAAGCCAAATCCTTCTTCTCGAACGCGAGACGATCCTCGCGAACGCGAAGAACAACACCAGACACCATCATCAGCTATTGCAAAACAGCCCGAATTGTTTCGAAACCACCCCAAAACACACCCGAGGCCCCCGGGGCCCCGTACAATCACACAAACCAGTCCAATAACATAATGCGGACCTGCTCGAGGCCTCAAATCACATCAAACAACATCGAAATCATGAATCGCACCCCAATTCAAGCTTAGTGAACTTTAGAACTTCAAACTTCTACATTCGATGTCGAAACCTATTAAATCACGTCCGATTGATCTGAAATTTTGCACACAAGTCACATTCCACATTACAGACCTACTCCAACTTCCGGAATTGGACTCCGACCCTGATATCAAAAAGTCCACTTCTGGTCAAACTCCTCAAAAACCTTCAAATTTCTATCTTTAGCCAAATGACTCCAAAATGACCCACGGACCTCCGAATTCACTTTCGATCACGCTCCTAACACCAGAATCACAATACGGAGCTATTCCCAGACTCGAAATCCCAAACGGACATTGATAACATTGAAATGCACTT